TCACCTAAAACAAATTTGCACACTACTCTAACTTATAGAATGCTATTAAGAAATTGAATTCGATTCTGTCTAGCATGAAGCTCTTAATCATATGTAAACAAATGAACAAGAACAGGAAAAAAACAAAAACAGAAAAAAAAAATAAAGTTACTGATTTGCATTGGAATCATTGAAATTTATGGATTTTCCGTAAACCTCATGTTAAGATGTAAAATAAGATTATCAATATATTCTTCTACTTCTGTTGCTTGTTGATCACTATTATCGATTTTGTTTCTTATTGTTAGTTGAAATAATTGTACTTCATTTTTAATAAATTTACATAATTGATTATGAATATCATCGATTATTTTATCTTTTTCATTATTTCTAAACATCCAATTTGTATAAATTTTCCCATGAGTTGTTAAAGAACCAATATAAAATGTTCGATTAAAGTCAATATTTAATTTTTCAATATATAATGAACATAAATAACATGGTAATTTTGATATTCCAATTTCTACATCTTTATCATGAACTTCTTTTATATTTTGTTCAATTAAATAATCTATCATTCGAATTTCACTATGTAAACATGTTGATAATTTTAAATTTGAATCATATGAAGTAAATTTATTTTGAATAAATTTATCTTGAAATTCTTTTTTTATTTCATCATTTCCTAAACGACATTCTAACCAAATTTTATCAAATGAAGATGATGGTGTTGTCTTTAATTCAACGATTGTTTTAATTGGTTCAATAAAAGACCATTGAATATTTTTATATATTTCACCATATTCAGATTTACGTTTTTCTAAAGTTATTAATATTAAATCCAATGATCGATGATGTGCCGATACTCTATCTAAATAATATAGAATACGTTCAACACCATTACCAATTGAATATACTTTTGATAGTATAGAACGAAATATTTCAGAATTATATAATAATTCACCAAATACTTGAAATTTCAAAATAATTTCTAGTTCAACATTGTTTTTATTGTTTTTTATAGCATGTCGATTTGAAGTAATATAATCGATCCAATTAAATAATTTTAAAATATATTCTTTTAAAAGAATATTTTTCTCTTTTAAATAACAATAATCGGGTGAACCTTTTTTTAATTTGTCATAAGTAATTTTTTGACATAAATTATCAACATTAGCATTTGATAATTTTTTAAGATTTGAAACAACATCATTAAATAAATCATCAGTTATACGTTCAATACATTTATTCTTGTTATATTCAAATATAATAGATTCTAATAATAAATAGATTTTCTCCATATCATGTTCATTTGATGTTAAACAATATTGTGAATATTCTCTTATTAAACCAAAAAATTTATCAAAATAAATTTTATCATCATTTTTTAATGATTCATTACATGTTATTAATATTTGTTTTTCTTTCAACAATGGATAAACTGATGTACATTTATTTGAACCATTAAGTAATAAAGCGAGACCATCGAGAAATCTATGACGTCGAGTTTTTGATCTTGTTGTTTGTTTGTTAGTTTTAAAAGGAAATATAGATGATATTATTAAATTATTATAAAAGTCAGATGTAGTCATCTAAAAAATAAAACAAAACTTTATGTAACTTTTTTAATGATATTCTAATGATAATTTCTGTTTAAAAAAATTATCACAATATTGTTTTCTTAGTTTATATGATCAAATTCGTTTAATATCTTTGTGACTGAGATTGATGATAGAATCAATGAAATATATGATAGTAATCATCATTCTAGTCTCTTCTACGTATTTGGTGATTGATCTTCTTCAGTGAGATGCTCGGAGTTTCCCATAAAAGATAATATAATTTAATCATAAATCGTATGTTTCAACAGAAGAAAGAAAACATCCATTGGTTCATCTCTCTGAATCAATATGCATTGGAAAGCAAAAGATGGTGCAAATAGCAAACGTCTATATTTATTATCTGTGTTATACAAAACAGACTAACTAACTTGTGGAAAAAGGAAAAATTTTAGTTAACATTGTTTCATTAGAATATACAAATCAATATGACATGAATTCCTAGTCAATGAAATGGACCAACTGTTTCTCTATCGTAATAATAGATTTTCTTCTATTTATGTACAGTGAAAACATTTTAATATGAACAAGAGAATGATCCATACCGTTTTTATCATTTTAATTGACCTTTTGTTATGTACTCATAACATAAGCAGTCACAAAATAAATATGAAATGAATATACAAGACAAGAAAGAAACAATAAATAGATAAATAACACAAAGAAAGAAAGTTAAACAAAAGAACAAAGACACTTAGTATAGAAGAAAATGTTTTCTTTTAATAAATATCTTTGTTCTTTTGTTCATCTCTGTTTCTTTCTTGTCTTGTATATTCATTTCATTTTTTTTTCTGACTGATAATGTATTGAATGCATAAGAAAACGTCAAATAAAATGATAAAAATGATATGGATCATTGTCTTATTCATATTGAAATGTTTGTCTATATTTCTACATTTCATTTTTTTCATTTCCTTTTTCAATTCGATTATTCATGTGTTTTGCGATGTCACATATACAATGAATTGAGAATAAGATTTCCTTTAAGTTTTTCGTATTAAATTCATTATACTTTTGTCATATTTTGTCTCATTCATTTCAATTATTCTATGTTGATGTTAACTTAAGTTTTTCATTTAAGAAAATCATGTAGAAAAAAAAAGTCAAATAGTTATGTCTCTGTTGTTGATTGTTATTGATTTGTTATTTCATAAAAATAAAAAAACAAATTATATTTTTCATCTTCGTTGTATTCTTTCTGTTGCTATTTAATATTTTCGACTTTACTATATTTATACCATGATCAAATACGTTATATTTATAGTTTGAGACTTTGATTTTATTTTTTGTGTTATTTTTCTATTTTGAAATATTGATTTTGTTTTTCTTAGGTGTCGATTTATAGTAATCTTCAACAATATCTAAAACAGATATATATATGCATATTTATAAGTGGGAAACTAAATCATTGAAATATCTATTAGATTATTTGGAAATTTATGACTTTTGTTTATCCTTGATAATATAAAAATTATTCATAGTATGTTCGTAAAGATCTAGATTGAAAACGTAAAATTTTCTTTAAGACTATATCCTAGTAGAATATATTTGAATTGTTATTGTTAAGTTTACTAAGGAAGCATTTTCAAACATAGAGAAGAGAGAAAAAAATACATAATCAATAGTTATCCAATTGTTGGTAGTATCAAATTTTTGAAAAAAAGAAAATCTACTAGAAAATGTTCGTTTGTTTGTTTTTTCTATTAGTTTATTTGGTATCTTCCTTTTTCTAGATACGTAAGCTGACCTATGACTTTCTAATTCTGCAAAAGTATCAATGAAAGATTTGTTTATGAAGATCATCTATTTGAAAAATTTTTTTTTTGTTCATAATTCTACACTATTTTACAATTGTAGGTTAATGAATAAGATTAGAGCAATAAAAAAAAATTTTTGAATTGTTTTTCTAAATATTCTTTTTAGATTACAATCTAGAGTAGGTAAAGTTTTCGTGGGTGTGGGTGGGTGTGGGGTATGTGGGGTCTGTGCGTGTGGGTGTGTGGGTGTGGGTGTGGGGTGGGTGTGTGGGTGTGACTATGGGTGGGTGTGGGTGTGGATGAGTGTGGGTGTGGCTATGGGTGGGTGTGGGTGTGGATGTGTAGTGGGTGTGACTATGGGTGGGTGTGGGTGTGGGTGTGGATGTGGGTGTAGGTGTGGGTGGGTGTGGGTGTGTAGTGGGTGTGGCCATGGGTGGGCGTGGGTGTGGGTGTGGGTGTGTAGTGAGTGTGGGTTTGGGTATGGGTGTGGGTTTGGATGTGGTTGTGGGTGTAGTGTGGGTGCGGGTGTGAGGTGTGGGTGTCGGCGTTGATTTTCTCTGCACCAACACCCCACACCTGCAACCACACCCTCACGCACGCACCCGCACACCCCCACCCGCACACCCCCACCCCAACTCACACCCTCGTTCACACCCACTCGCACCGGCGTCCACACCCACTCGCACTGTCGTCCACACCCGAACCCAACTTCATTTCCAACGCAATACAAAAAGCGATATTAATTTTTGTATGATGTGAGACGCAGGTGTGGATGTGCACCTATACAAATGTAGTCGATTGAGAAGAAGAACCATACCCACATCCTCCGATGTCGGGGAGAACCTCCACAAGTTGCAGCGGGTGATGGTTGTAGCTGTCAGTCTCCTCTTCACTTACCCACATCCTAATGGGAAAACTAAATGAAGTTTAGATTAAATCATGATAATTCACAGTATGATGACCGTTCAGACAACGCAAAAGTTGAAGGTAATTTATCCTTAGAACCAACAAAATTTTGCTTAATATTTATAATGGGTGTGAGTGTGAGTGCAGACAAGACTGACACGCACACTAGCACCTACAGTCCACATCCATACCCACTCTTTAATCATCAATACGAACAGCTCATTGAAATTAAATGAAAGAATTCAAAGTTTTCTGTTGTGTGGGCGAAGACTTTCAAATTGCAATTTCAATGATTGATAAACTGGTTATCCAATACCAAAATGTTTTTCAAAATGTCAACGACTGAGAGATGTGCACTCGTATTTTTAAGATTAATCATGTTAGATTTGATTTTTTTTCCAATTTCTTCCGAAAACTCTATCCCATCTCAATTCTTTTAGATGATGGTTTATATACAATGAGGATGCGAATATCAGTCTGAGTATTCCTTTCATCTACATCCACACCCCACACCTACATCCTTGAATATAATAGAGTCTCTGTACGTGCGCATGTGTCTCTTACAATTATGGTATCTATTCTGTTTTACAATTTTATTATTTTTTTCGACAAATAAATTGGCAGCGTAGCCAGGATTTAGCTTATGAGGTAACTATGAGAGGGCTCAACGTCGAAGTATATAGTTTATGACGAGGCTCAGAATGTTATTTTCTCATGACCGAACAGTCTAAGGAAGGACTCAACTGATTAATGAAGGAACTGAACCTCCCCAGGCTCCCCCTCCGGTTACGCCACTAAAAGAAAAAATCTTTATCATTTCTTTTCTCATATTTTCGAGGTTCTTTATATATAGTTGAAGATGAGGGTGATATGATGGTAATGAACGTTGTCCACTATTAACAGCACGTTCATAAAATGAAAGTGCTTCCGGGTAATTACCCATGAGCTCATACACCGTACCGATGCTGTTGTAGGAAAGAGCCAAATCAGGATGATTTGGAGGAAGAGATTTTTGTCGAATTTCAATGGCTTTTTCGAAAGACGAAAGTGCTTTCGTATACTCTCCCATTTCGGCATACGCCGAACCGATGTTATTGTAGGAAAAAGCCAAATCAGGATGATCTGGAGGAAGAGTTCTTTGTCGAATTTCAAGTGCTTTTTCGTGATATAAAAGTTCTTTCGAATTTTCGCCCATTCCACCATAAGTATTACCGATGTTATTGTAGGAAGAAGCCAATTCAGGATGATTTGGAGGAAGAGATTTTTGTCGGATTTCAAGTGCTTTTTGGTAATGCGAAAGTGCTTGCGAATATTCGCCTATGTTTTCGTACACCATACCGATGTTATTGTAGGAAGAAGCCAGTACAGGATCATCTGGACGAAGAGATTTTTGTCGTATTTCAAGTGCTTTTTCATGATATGTAAGTGCTTTCGAATACTCGCCCATGCTGTGATATACCAATCCGATGTTGTTGTAGGATCTAGTCATGCTAGGATGATTTGGACCAAGAAATTGTTGTCGAATTTCAAGTGATTTTTCATAATTTGCAATTGCTTCTCTGTATTCTCCTTTATCCCGTTTGGTCGATCCAATTTGATGATAAATACCCGCTTTTTCACGATCATTAGATGCTTGTTCAAGCATCATTTCGTAGACTTCTTCTGCCTTGCCCGAGTGGCCCAGTCTAATTAATATTAAACCTAATCGTTCCCATCCTTCACTGTCTGGAAAAGTTTCTTCTCTTATACGTTCAGTAAGTATGTGAAGTTCTGGATCGTGATCACTGGTAAGCGTCAAGTCCACTTGCCAAAGACGACTATTTTCATCCATTTGCTTGACATCTCCGATGCGAAAAACTGTGTTCATGGAGAAGAGTACTTCATCTTCTGTATCTTGATAGACACTAACGTCAGTAATTGAAGCAAAGGGTGTCGATGACTTCGAAGAATCAATCAACATAACAAAGAGAATCCCAACCCGATCAGGATTCGAAAGAGCACGACGAGCAAAATCAAGAGAAACATTTTCAACCTTGCTGGTGGATAAAAAGTTATGAAATGACATAAGTCCACCTTTTGTTTGCATTATTTGTTCCAAATCTACCTTGGCCAAACCTTGACCTCGGTAGACACGGAATTCTTGGGTGGATTGCTGATTGCCGAATTGTTTTGTATGTAATTCTTCTATGTGTCGATAAAGATCACCGATGAAGAAGCCCATCTTTATAATCAAGTCGACATTCATTGTTCGGAGAGACTGATTCAGCATTGGATATAAGAAGCACTCGTAGGTATACCACCAAATGGGTGTTTGATCTCGATATTCTCGTTTTAGTTTTTCGATATTGTCCAATTCATCATCATTTCCAATGAATATTTTACTACAATAATCGAGAAATTCCTTGATATGTTGTTCTTCAAATTGAATTGTTAATAAAATCTCTTTCAAAATTTGTGTATACATAAACGAAGAATCTAACTGATCTAAATTTTTCTTAGATGCATTACCACTTGTGGACACGTAACTAATCGGAGTATCGTTGCGCTCACATTCTTGAACTGCTTGCCTAAGAGATTTACAGATATGAGAGATTTCTGTGAAAACTCCGTTTATTTTGGACCATTTTTTGGTCCATTGTTCAGATGTTGACTTTTCATCACATAGAACATAAATAGAATCAAGACAAGGCATATTATGAATCATTGGTAGTATGTTTTCACCAACATTACCAGTAACAATTAGGAATACCTTTCCATTTTCGACGTGATTGATGAAATTTGCACAATTATCAGCATTGTTAAATGACTTAATGGTGTTAATTATACGTCGTAACTGTGCAACGACCTTTGGATAATGATTTTCCTTTACTTCGTCAATACTGGCGTCCAACCAGACAAGAACATAGTTTTGCATGATAAGATTATTAACTGGTAGTTGTAATCTTCTTGCAGTTTCTGACAGAAATGGCGTAGATGTATTGCCACGTTTGTGTGTCATTCAAATATTTCGGAGCAATAGTTTTGTTTGTCGACGATAAAAAACATTGATATTTATGAGATTGTTCTTCTATGGAACGATTCTTTTACCTAGATTCACTTTTGTGTGCTATAATGTATACATAAATGTAATAGTTTCCTCCCAAAGATTACTATTATCTGATTCAAAATAAAAGGCAGATTACCATTTTTTGAATAACTTTTGATAGGATGAAGATAGAGAGCTGCGTTCTTCACCATTCGAAAGAATGATACCCTGGCCATCGATCGATATAGAACTCATTAAGACGAACGATGCTTTTTATTGTGTACTCAAAAAGTGAGTACACTATAGAATCGGTCAGTGTGACCGGCCGTTTACACGATAACTTTTGAAAGGAGAGTCCGATCACGATGGAATTTTCTACACAGTTTCGTCTCATCAATATATCGGTCGAGTTCGAAGATGATAATGATTCGTCGAGCCATTGCTGAGTGATCGGAAAAAGAGTCATTATTCCATATGCTTTTCTATGCAAACAATGAACTATCCCACTTTTCGTAAAAAACTTTTCCTCTCATAATCAAACAAAACTCCAACTATTATATACCATTCGATAGAGAATTTCACGAGCTACAAAATGGTATATAAAACATTAAGAAACAAGAAGGCTAAGTCACCTATTGCAAAGATACTTAAACGGAAATTGGTTCTGTTTTGTCCATGTTCCAATTGATCGAAAAGTAAAGCTCCATCTTCCGATCATAGAGACGATAGTTCGAGGTTGTCTAGGGCGAAGAACTTGAATCTGAGCTTCATTTGCCTCGAAGTTCTATTGGTTGAGCAGTAACCAATAGAAATCAAGTTTCTGAGGGTGATTCAAGACGAAGAGTTTAAATCTGAGCTATGGTTGCTCCAAAACCCTATTGGTTGAGCAGTAACCGATACAAATCTAGTTTTAATAGAAGGAGCTCGCTAGGATAATTTTGATGCCTACACGTCCTAGGATGACTCATCTGTCCAGTTCACTTTTTGAAGTACACATAACACTCGGATTTGAATCCGATGTTTCCACATTTTTTCGCGACAAAATTAACATTTGTGTTTTTTAAGCATACTTAGAATAAGAGATTGAGAGATAATGAAATATGCGCTAATTTTATAGCGAAAAAAGGGTGATTTGAGCTACATTTTGACATAATTTGAGTTGAGTTTATTGTGAAAATTGATGAAAATACTCAACGAAAAAAGTATTGATCCAAAGATACCTATAAAAAAAGCATCTGTCGTCTGAATGAGTTATAGGCTGTATCACTCTCATTGGATGTTTCTTTGAATAGCAGCTGCTAGAGTTGCTCGACTTTTCAGACTCATCTCACCCATGTTCAGCAGCAATTTGCCCATTCGTGACCATCCTGCTCCATCGATCTTCTCTAACATGCGTTTAGTAAGAGCACACTATTGCGGATCATTATTAATCATCAGAGTCAGATGGGAGTACGAACAGATGCTCGCGGAGACTTGCTTGCTAGGATAAATCTCGCCCGAACAGTAGCTCCCTAGGACACTTGATCGCAAAACAGACTGCAACAGTAAGCCGATTTCCAAAAACGTAATTTTCAGAAATTATAGATCTGATTGAAAACGACAGGTCACACTTGGGGACCTTCTCTTGTAAATGTAGATTGGAAAAGAGTTCCAATGGAAATATTTCATCGTTTAGCTTTGTACTCTGTCATCGTCGTGTTCAATCGAATCGATTTACATGCTTGAAAAATAAGCCAAAGTGAATTGAACTGATTTCAGTTTTTAAAAAGTCATGCGAACCGGTTCGAAGTACGATTTTTCGTTTTGACAATTGAATATGAGATACAAGATATTCAATATCTGAAGACATATGTCGGGTTTGGCATGCGTGAATGTAGCTAATCAAGGCGTCATTGCTGCCATGATTAGTTTTCGCAGTTCTGTGTCAGGTAAAGTTATGGTCAAAATCGGATTGATATAATGGTCTTTATTATATGCATCGACCTCACAGAAATATTGTCAATTCAAAAAATATCCTCTAAAAATATACCTTCGTAAGCTTAGCTACTTAGAAATAATATCAGTCAATCTTTCACACTATCCGTGCTGACTGCGTCATATGTGTATGCGATTTTGGGTGAACCGACTGTTGGCTTCGATGTATTGCAACCCATCTTATGCGTAATGTGGAAAGTTATGTGCGTTGTCAAAGTAAAACCATGAATGAATGAACACTATTCAACAAGAAAGCTCCTCTATTTATACGAAAATTTTTCTTATTGATTTTTCTTTCTCAATCGCCAATTTCTGTTTGTTTTTGACGCTAAAGGGTGTTGCCAGCTCCATGTGATTCGATTCTGTTGTTTTTCGCTGTTAACTGTGAATGAGGTCTGTATAATTACAGTGCAGGTTTGTGTAGCTATATCCAAACAAGTTTCGTCGCAACCAAACAGGCAACGATGATTCAACTGATGAATATTGCCTACGCAAACGCAAACGTTTTCTTCGCGACAAATCGCAAAATTGAATGACAACATTAACAAAAACAAAAACGGACACCAATGCGTTGCTATAACTTGTGTTGTGTTTGCATCTATGTCTGCGTAATGATCTTCAAATTGTGTCACTTGAATTGAGTCAACAAACACGACAGGGTGGGGTGTGGATGTGGGTGCGGGTGTGAGTGTGGGTGGGGTGTGGGTGAGTGTGGGCGTGGGTGTGGGTGGGTGGGGGTGTGGTTGTGGGTGTGGATGGGTGTGGGTGTGGGGTGTGGATGTGGATGTGTGGATGGGTGTGGGTGTGAATGTGGATGTGCGTGTAATCTTGATGGACACTCTCACCCGCACTCACATCCACACCCACACCGACACCCACACTCACACTCCACATTCCCACACTTCACACCCACACCCTCTCTAATAGAAATAGTTACTTCGTTATTAAAACTCATATTATGTTATTTATAATCAAATTTTGCATTGGAAACTCGACTAGAAAAACACTTCAGATATGCTAATCAATATTTGATTTTGTGCTGTTTGGATAAATGTCATCATCACCCTACTTATTGTATTAAAATTTGTAGAAAGTAGAATTGTCTTTCGTGACGAATAACTTTCAAGTTTATTTAATCTTAAAAAAATTATATTACTGTCGGAATTTTTATAGAAGGCAGGTGGAAGAAAGATTTATAACTTTTGAATGGAAGGTCATAGCGACCTGCGCTTTTCAGCATTCAATAGATGACAGTCTGTGGCACATGTATATGTGTGAAAATGGTCTCCCGAAGCACATTTTCAGGCCAGTTTTAATCGACGAAATTAAGAGCAAATTTGCGAATTGTTTCGAGGGAATTTTTTAGCTAGGTTTGCACCCTGACATGTCCTCTTCACATTGGTATCTAAGCAATTTCTAGACTTCGCTTCCTTGAAACACTAGAGGTCCTTTAAGAGAGCAATTACATGTAAGACACTTTTCGCTGAAAAGCGAAAAAGTATTCAGAATATAGGTTTTTGACTATGCAAATCAACATGAAAGAGTATATTCTCTTTAAAATATAGGGCTTAAAATGTTTTATCTCTCTCTGTGCATGAGCATGCCACTGTGTAACGCCAGGATGATGAAAAGGAAAGGAAGAAAATATATCTGCATGTACGTGAAAATTCTCTTGGTTATTTTTCTTTCTTTTTTTTCGAAATATATACACTATCTATTTTAGATAACTTATTTATTCATAATGCCGAAAGGTTATGAGTTTTCGCAAGAAGTAAAACAATTAATGTTTCATATTATTAATTTTGTTGAAAGTGAGAAAAGTGGTCCAGTGATTCCTCTCTACAATGTAAACGATCATCTTGTTAAAATGTTAAATATTTCTGAA